TGAGTGTGACGGACCGGCTGCAGTTTTTCTATTACGTCGGGGACCGGTACCTTTTTTTATTGATTATTTTTCCTTTACGATCATCTCATATATGTATTAAAATTTGTTTAAATGAATTTCTTTATTAGCCGGGTGTCTATATATGACCTAGTACCATTTAACCGCTTGGAGGTCTTCTTTGCTGGGATGTGACATCTCAGACTACCTAAAAGCCAGGAACTGCATTTTCCTCTATAAACTTATACATATGAGAACCCCACGTTATCTGTATGACAAACTTATTTTTCCAAAGTCGGAACGTTCTTCTGACTTAATTCTGCCCTCATACAACTTTAAAAACTCTGCCAGACTGTTTTTCATTAACGCTATTCGTATTTGGAATTCTATTCCTCATGCCGTTAAAACCAAATTCAACAAAAGCAACTTTAAAAGTTCCCTCCATACATATTTCTCGTCTAGTTGATGAACCTTCTTAATATTTAAGTTTTTATCTAGTCCATAATTTTTAGTTTGTACATCTATTGTTTTATTCCCAGCATTAATAGTATTAATATTACCTCTAAATCTGTTTAGTTACTTATATTGCTGTTGTACTTCAAAAGACTAAGTCTTATTGTACTAATTTTAAATAAAGAATAAAGAAAGAAAGAAAGAATGATAGCAGATATTAGCGATTTTTTTATGAATGTTTAACAAATTTAAGTTGTTTTTATTATACAAGTTGTATATAGCCTCATTAAACAGTAATATAAAACATCACAAATGTAATATGTATATATAATCGTTTAAAAAATCGTTGTCCATTTCGCGACGCCCTTTGCGGACCGGCGACTTATGGCTTACGGACCGGCACCGGTCCGCGGACCACCACTTTGACGAGCACTGTGCTAGAGCAATTCTGAATTCAGCACCGAAAAATCTACATGAAACGGTAGGGCTGTTCAGGATGGTGTGGAAATGGTCTGGGATTTGCAGTGGAAATTGTATTTGCATAGTTTATGCTGCAAATGCTAGAGCATATGCACAAGATCCTGAACAGCCCCGATGTGTTTTAAAAAGTCAAAATTTGTCAAACTGTGTAATCAATCAAAATATGTATGTAAAACTATTTAGAAAAGAAAAAAATGAAATACTTAACTTACCTGTCTACTAGTATTTTCAACGCGAATACAATTAAACAAGAACGTGGGTTTGCAACTTCAATAATGGTTGTATTTTAGTACAATTAAATTTGTAGATTCTTGTAAATTCAGTGCTGCTTAAGATTTAAATATTTATAATTACTAGTGTTCGCCCAGCGGTTGAAATTCAACCGATAAAATTAAGGATAGTTTATGTAAGTTGAATGAGCTAAAATAACATTAGTTGGAATGGGTTAAGTGGAGGGGAGTTTAGCTTAGTACTTGGCATAACATAACATAACCATAACATAAGAATAAATAACATAACATATGAAGCATAACACACCACAATATAACATCGCACACTCTTCAGTTGTATTTCCTTTTTATCCCTTTTTTCACCTCTATCTAAATCTTATTTATTTTGGTTCATTTTATGCCAAATGATGTTGTCTTTGATGGTGGTGAGCTGCGGTGTGGAGGAATTGGGTGTAGGAGTTACGGTGTGGTGAATTTAGGTGTGGTGGATTCAGGTGAGTTAAGTTATGGTGAGAAAGTTGAGGTGTGGTGAATTAGGGTATGGTGAATTTTGGTGTGGTGAGTTGAGGTGAGTTAAGGTGTGGTGAGAAAGTTGAGGTGTGATGAATTAAGGGTGGTGGATTTAGGTGCAGGGGTTAAGGTGTGGCGAGTTGAGGTGTGGTGAATTTAGGTGTGGGGAGTTAAAGTGTGGTGAATTAATGTGTGGTGAGCTCAGGTGGAGTAAGTTTTTAAGATAAGATGAGTTAAAGTTAAGGGGTTATGATTTTTATCCTTATCTTCATCTTCATCTTCATCTTCATCTTCATCTTCATCTTCATCTT